TGCACGATATTGTTATCGTGGGCACTTCTAAATACCGTGAATAATTATATATTACAAATTATTCCGAATTTTGAATGCATTTTAAGAATACTTTTCCCATCAACTGGTCAAAATGCACAACATGCTGAATGCTGCGTGAAAGACTCCTGCGCACTCTGATGTAAACAAGCACCAACTATCTATAATGCTTACAAGAAAACATCTTAAACTTAAAATATAAGTACAATTAGCATCAAGCCACATTTGAAAATTTGTGATTATTGTTTTCGCTTAAAACCGACTATAAACCATCATCGAGTGCTTGTAATAACTTCTGATTGTGATCTGTAGTTGATTTTGATTCTATAATAGGCAGACATACACTCTTTGTAGGCTATGTTTAATAACGCCACACTGCTTATTGTCATAAACATCCTTTATTGTTATAAAATTACCACGAGCTGCATACAAAACACATACAGAAAATATATCGTCATAATCATATGTCTATTTGCTTTCATATTTCATGTGTAGAAAAAATGCACGTTTCACTCGTTTTTTTTTAAACACGGAAGATCTAGAGAGTTAACGCACCCTGACTCATAACACTCGCGCACGTGGAAGAAACCGGACACTCCAGATCACATAATTCAATGGAGAATTTAGAAATTATATTAAGAACATGTGAGAATAAATCTGTTCTCAGATACCAAAGATAACAGGAATTCGACATCACCACTCTCTTCTCTCTCTACCGGGATACTCTTCTTTGGTGTTTGTTTACTCTGATTTTCGAAACAGCGCCACCACTCGTGCAACAGCAGCTGCTCTGGGCACGTGATCTAAGCTCAAATCTGATTGGACGGCCCGTTTCATCGTTGAGCGACGGGGAAAAAAATCGACACACAGGACAGAAAAAAAATCCTCGCTTTTTCGCACCGCGTTTATTGTTATAAAATTACCATGAGCTGCATACAAAACACATACAGAAAATATATCGTCATAATCATATGTCAATTTGCTTTCATATTTCATGTGTGGAAAAAATGCATTTTTGTAAACACGGAAGATCTAGAGAGTTAACGCGCTCTGACTCATAACACTCGCGCACGTGGAAGAAAACGGACACTCCAGATCACATGATTCAATGGAGAATTTAGAAATTATGTTAAGAACATGTGAGAATAAATCTGTTCTCAGATACCAAAGATAACAGGAATTCGACATCACCACTCTCTTCTCTCTCTACCGGGATACTCTTCTTTCGCACCGCGAATGATCGCGCCTGGTGTGAATATCCCCATAGGGACCTATTGTTTCAATTCAAAAGCGTCATCGCGCCGAATTTTCGCTTTGTGTGAAAAGCCCTTTATATTGATGATTTTAGACCGATTTAATAGATACAGATTTAAAGAAAAGTTCATGTAAATATATTAGCTATTGCTTACTTTTTTTTCAGTAACATTTTCATGTATTTAAAAGAAGGTCTCTTATGCTCACCAAGGCTGCATTTATTTGATTAAAATACAGTAAAAACAGTAATATTTGGAAGTATTGTTACTATTTTAAAGTAAGAAAAGCAGCCATGACCAGTTTAATGCATCCCTGCTCGATAAAAGTACTTTCTGTGTTCAAAACAAGATGACAGAAAATACTTAAATATTTAAAAAATATTTATTAAAGAAAATTACACGGGTAAGTGTGACTTTTTGTCACAATTCAGATTTCATTCTTGCAATTCTGATATATACCTGCAATTCTCTCTTTTTAGCTGGGTTTGTCCCTTTTTAACCCAGCATTTTTTAGAGTGCAGGAATAAAGTTTCTTCATATGTTAAGTGTGTCAAATGCTCAGAACAGATTTGGGAGTTTACACCGATTCATCCTCCACTGTGATTTACAGAACTTTTCTCATCACCAACATCTCATGGATCCCATATAAAGGAATGTTTATTTTACTATAGTTGTAAATATTATTTACTGCATTGTTTGCCTGCAATAAATCTTTATAAAAACACGGTCTCTTTGCGTTTCATAGGAATCCAAGTGACCCGAGGTGTTTGTTGACACTTTGTTCTGTAATCTGGTAACCCTTTCAAGCACAGCGTCCCCTGTTGACCAGTGAACTTAAAGCCTGTTTTAGGTCAGTGTAATATAAAATTAACCATGACCTTAATTCTATGGCTTTTGAAAAACGGACAAAAATAGAAAAAATAGACTAAATTAAATTGGGATTTAAGAAGTTAAAAACTTTACATTTATTAGTGATACCATATAGACAGTTCAATATTGTTCTAATAAAACTGACATATGCAACAAGATTTATAAAAGGTTGAATATCCAGGTCATATTCCACCCCCGAATAATATTATAAAAGACAAAGCAAATCATATTTAGCATAAAGTAAAAATAAAAAATCTGTTGTTTATATAGGCTTCATGTTATTTATAAATGTGCATATGTGCTAATACTGACGTAATTTTATTTCATTATATATGAAATAAAAAAATGTATTACATATATTTCTTCGTGAGATGAACTCAAAAAATCATCTAAATCAAATCTTGATCCGTGTTCATATTACTTCAGCTTGCCAGAGTTTAATCTTAGCAGCAAGGGGGCGATGACGGAGCGCTCAGATTTATGAGTAATTACTGTAGAAGAAGTGATTCTTCCAATCGGCGTCATTCTCTTCATCAACCGCGAAAATTTGCACCATGGCAACTAGTGACGGGAAGTCCGAGTCATGTCTGCAAATCGGTTCTTTTGAACAGTCCTTTCAAAGAAACGAATCACCTGGTCTCTGACATCCCAACGTTTTTATCTAGATACACGTATTGTTTCTTATGTGTTTTTTTTCTGATTAAATTTAATTAACAAAGGCGTTCATGATAGTTTTGTGTCCCAGTTTAGTTTGATTCAGTTCGGTTGTTGCTAGAGTCGGATCTCGCATCGTTTTTGCGAGTCGGATCTTTGAATCAATCGATTGTAAACACGATTGATTCAAAAGATCCGACTCGCAAAAACGAACCTTTCACGAATCGGACTGCTCTAGCAGCAACAACAATTTGACGCGACTGTGGATTTTGTTTGTGCTGCTTCAGTGATTTTAGTGTTTACGTTTAGACTGTTGCAGTGTGTAATTGGTTCGAGTTCTCTATTTAATTGTCTCGTGTTAAGTGAGTCATGTGTTCGGTCAGGTTTATGGTCATGTGTGTGGATGAGTCTGTGGATGTGTTTTACTCAGACGGGCGTAACGTTAGACTGCAGCTCTCGCCCTGCGGATCTGAATTCATGATGGAGAAACACATGTCACCCTCTGCACACCCGCTACAGCCCAGAGAGAGAGTCAGACAGAGAACAAGATTCGCCATCAGCGAGTATAAGGTATATACAACACATTTTCATCCCCATAAATGTATTAAAATATATCAATACTGTGTCATTTGTACTGCAAAACTTGTATCTGCATTGCAATTTCATGGAACATATCTTACATTTCTGTCTACCTGTATATTTGTGTATCTATCTGTCTATCTATCTATCTGTCTGTCTGTCTGTCTGTCTATCTATCTATCTATCTATCTATCTATCTATCTATATCTGTCTATCTATATCTGTCTATCTGTCTGTCTGTCCATTTATACCACAATTATCTGTCTGTCTATCTATCTATCTATCTATCTGTCTGTCTGTCTGTCTGTCCGTTTATACCACAATTATCTATCTATCTGTCTGTCTGTCTGTCCATTTATACCACAATTATCTATCTATCTATCTATCTATCTATCTATCTGTCTGTCTGTCTGTCTGTCTGTCTGTCCGTTTATACCACAATTATCTATCTATCTATCTATCTATCTATCTATCTGTCTGTCTGTCTGTCTGTTGTCTGTCCGTTTATACCACAATTATCTATCTGTCTGTCTGTCTGTCTGTCCATTTATACCACAATTATCTATCTATCTATCTATCTATCTATCTATCTGTCTGTCCGTTTATACCACATCTGTCTATCTGTCTGTCTGTCTGTCCATTTATACCACAATTATCTATCTGTCTGTCTGTCTGTCCATTTATACCACAATTATCTATCTATCTATCTATCTGTCTGTCCGTTTATACCACATCTGTCTATCTGTCTGTCTGTCTGTCCGTTTATACCACATCTGTCTATCTGTCTGTCTGTCTGTCTGTCTTTCTGTCTGTCCATTTATGCCACAATTATCTATTTATCTATCTGTCTGTCTGTCCTTTTATACCACAATAGTCTATCTATCTATCTGTCTATCTGTCTGTCTGTTTATATCACAATAGTCTATCTATCTATCTATCTATCTATCATCAGTCTCTAACCATATATCTGTCTGTCTGTCTAGAATAGTTTACTGCTGTAAATATGGGTGCACAGTATAAAAATACATTTATTTTCTCTCTTGTTTAGACACTGGTACAGAATGCTTTGACGTTCAGAAACAAGTATGCAACTCATCCATATTTGCCTGAGGAGCTCATAACTGTGGAATTCAACAAGGTAACAAGGTCTTAAAGCTGTAGTAAGGTTTGCTTTTTTATTACTGAAATCATGTAAATCCCGCTTAATTTCTCATTTCTGCTTATTTGCTTAACCAAATACTGATTTGCAGTCGTCCACCAGTGCCATAACTGAGGTGGAGTGGCCCGGGTCTGACTCCTGCACCGCTGGGCCGCATGGAGAGATCACAGTCTGCTCTGTAGATGGACATGCCAAACTCATCCTTTCCTCTTCTGGAGAAGAGTTCACAGTGGAGTTTATCTGTCGGTCCAGCCAAAATGAAGTAGAGTCACAGTATCTGCAAGGGCACCAACACAAAAGTACATGTTCATTAAGTAGCTTGTTTTCTAAATCTGCCACGGTTAAGGGTTTAAACATCTCTGAAGCCTCAGCGGGTGCTCGGATGGACCATCCAGGGTCAGTCGTAAAAGCCCCAAATACGGAAAGACTGGAATCAACAAGTTCGAAGTCTGGGAAGGTGGACGCGTACACCAGAGTGATCCAGCAGTATTCCCGAGCACTTTACCCACAGATGTGGAGCTATCCTCTGTCATTAGCATTCAAGCATTGGGAATCACAAAAAATTAAAATAAATACTGTCAGTGGTCAAGATGGAAAGGGTTTAACAGAGGGAGAAGGTAGACAAACATCTCAAACAGGGCTGAAAACTCAGCTTCCCAAACCTTTGCCTCTAAAATGTCCCTCTCCTCATCAGCACAGGTGAGGAACGCCAAACAAACACAAAATACATTCTCATGTCATCTCTTTCTCTTTGCCTTTATCTGGATGAATCTCACACATATATATATATATATGTGTATACTTTTTTTTTTTTTTGGAGTG